GATCTTGCCCTTGTCTGTCCTCCTCTGTCTTTCTTGACTGTCTCTCGCTCTCTTCTCTTCCCGCTCTCTCTATCTCTTTCTCTCTTTAACTTTTTTTCTCTCTCTCTCTTTCTACCACTCTATTTCTCACTCTCTCTCCTCCTATTTCTTTCTTACAGACACACACACACATCTCTCTATATATATATATACTGACTCGCCTATGCACCTCTGTACGCGGTTGGTTTTCGCTTGCACCCTCACCTGAAATAGAGAGACAGCGGCGCGCCGACGCGGTTGCGGCTTCCCTTACGTTACTATGTGCTTGGGATAACAGTAAAACAGTTATCTAGGTGGGAATGTTGACGTTCGCCTGCACGACCACGATATCGCAAAAGGGCGTATATTACAGCAAAGCCAACGATTCTTCCGTGCTATTGTCTGTCTATACAGTTGTGATTTTTATGCGCGCCCGCGCCACTGTATCGTTCGATGTTATTACGTGCCGCGAGTTGATAATTTAGACTAACCTCGTTAAATGTATAGCCTTCGTGTTGCTTCTCTTACCGAATTAGTGCAGCGTTTCGCTCGACCGAACAGGTCGAGTCCACACGGATTGCTCCGTATTTGTGGCAGGGAGTCGAAGACCAAAGTAATGCAACGCTAGAATGCTAGGAACGGTGGCCGATAGAACAAAGACTAACTCAACTGATCATATATAAACACCACGAGGAGGTTCGTGCATTTTTTTCGAGAGGACCGACGTGCCTTCCCTCCAACGTTTGTAAATTCAAGATGATCAGCGCTCCCCTCGTCGACAAGCGTGTTATTTTCAAGGCATTTCTCCGCCCCACCAACAGCCGCTCTCGTGCATGCACGTTTGATGAAACACCCAGTTAGACACTGCGAGTATAATTATGAATCAAGTATAAGGCGATGACCAGTGAAAGAATCGAGTATAGCAATCTGCGGCTTTGTCGTCGACAAAGACCACGAACGCGTGTTAGGCCATATAAATTGTGAGTTCCTTTCTGGCCGATATAGTTGGCGCTTGCGGCGAACCCAGATTACAAAATATAGAGGAAAGTCGCGCGACCTGCAGCCGGCGACAGAACTGGAATTGCGTATGCCCAGCCACACAAATCTGGCCGCCTGCTACAATTGGCAAATCTTCCCATTCTGTCTTTAGGACTGCTTATATATATATTTTTTTTAATAATTTATATTGCGCCTTTTTACATAAAATGATTTGAAAGCGCAGCACATCGATATCGCAAACGACTGAACAAACGGCTGTTTCCACATTGTCTATGAATATATTTCGATTCTTTGTTCACCAACATAAAATACATAGAAACACGAGGTAAACAGCTTTATTTTCTGACTTTTTATTGAAACATTTTCTACATTATTTTTCAGTCAGACTGCCACTGCTCGAATATTACTGAACAGTCCGTCTTTTATAGATATCACCTACTTCATATACAAAATTTAACACCAGCACATTTGCTGGTCGAACAACACATAATACATATTTTAAACTAAAGCATTTAGTTTTGCATATATACATAACCGCAGGAATCGCCGATTGCCAATTGTCAAGAATGCAACAATCAAACAAAAGCGCTCACCAGCCCCCCCATACTAATGCAGCCATATTTTTAAGTCTATATAATATATAGAATCTTGGAGGGGCAAGGAATGTATGGAGGTACAATCACGCATCCCGTGTTGCTCAGACCACGCTGCGCGCAAAACGGCATTAGCCAGTTTGCTTTGAGTCTATTTATCTTTTACCACCACACTTGCACCGAGAATGGCGTTTTTTATTATAAACTCATAGCCTGGTTGTGAACGATATGTTTCTATTCTTTCTTTCTTTCTTAGGTAGTAACAAACACGGAAACAAAACTTAGCTCTACACTTTAGTTTTACATGTTTACAACGCATTACGACGAATACACCGATCAGATGCATGCATATGATATCATTCTACAAACTCATGTAAACGTGTCAGAAGTGTTAACGTGTCAGATGCCTGTGTTGGCATTCGCACGATGTAGGGCGATGACAATATTCTTGTCTCTGCCCGTCTACGAGTATGGGGAAAAAATTATGATGTCATGTTCCAATCTAGATATGTTTCAACGTTGATAACACGCGAGTTTGACGAGAGAATATATACTGTGAAAAAGTCATTGGCTACATCTTAGTTGAAACGGTGTTTTCAGCAGCAGGCTTGCTGGTCTTTGTCATCTCCTTGTGTTCCACCTACAAGTAGGTAAAGTAGCTGTTTAAGAGATCATTATAACCATACGTTTCAAGCTGTCCCTCTAGATAAATTCTCAATATATACTATACTATAGCGCCCATACTGTTACGTAAAGCTAGAGTTTACGTGCTCTTGCTTATATGCGAACGAGCACACACGTGGGCAAGCACGCACATGTATGTGCTCAACTAAAAACCAAAATGTGAAGAGTTCTATCTTGCCTTATCTTCGTCGACGAAGTCAGCTATTGACTCGGCTTCATCGAGCTCTGTGGCCCAACTTTGCAGCTCTCCTGTGCCAAATATGAGATAGAAGATGGCGCCGCCTACCATGATGGCGGCAGTGATGTAGAACACCGTCTGCCACTGTTGCTGTGTTCCCTGTGGAGGATGACATAGGCTAGTGGATTTTTGCAACAACACGGGAGAGAAACTGACGGAGGCTTACTCGTATGCGAGTCATTGCATGTTCTCTAGTGAGCAACTGAAGTCTGTATATTTCAGACCAAGTTCTATTTATCTACCAGGGTTAATACTAAAACATATCGTGTAAATATTACAAAAACATAAAGACATAACAATAGACAATAATATGTACAATAAAACATTGCAAACTGATTCAGATAATCAAAAAACAGTGACAATAAAAAGTAGATTTTTACTTATACAAAAGTGATTAAAATGCGCCATAGTTTTACACGTAACAATAAACCCTACTTTAGGTTGTAGATCTAACACGCGTGTTACCAATGTTCAGGGAACTCACATCTGTGGTGATTTGACCGACCACGTATGGAGCAAAGATTCCAGAGAGTGTAGCGAACGTGTTCGAGATGCCAAACAACACTCCGGCGTACTTGGGGGCAATGTCAACATGATTGACAATGAAGCCTGTGACGATAAAACAACAATGTTACAGATGTAAAGAGTTAAGAATAGAACATCATACATTACCATTTCGTTCTTCCTACATAGTACGCTTTCCTACATAATTCTTCACGCTACTAATCACCCACACTGCGACTTCATCTATGCCACCATTACTTCGTTTCTTTTTTCTTGTTGTCTGTCCTCGTTTTTTTTTAATTCGTAGTCTTCTAATATTTCATTCTTCCTTCCATTTCCTAATAACACAGCTCTTCGGAAATAGTAGAACTGTGTTTTAGGTGTACTTACCTCCATACTGAAGAGCAGAAAAGGTGACAGCCACGGTGAGAATCGCCACAGCCAAATACGGCCGCGTACAATCCAGGTAGCCTGTCACTATCAGGAATACACTTGCCCCGACCATAGCTGACAAAAAGTAATGATTTTAAAATTCCCATATATTAAGTTATATTGCTTATTATCAAATGACACGACTAGGAAAATTCGAATGAAGCAAACACGCACGTAGCTAATAGCAAAAAAACGACTTCCATAGTTTATGTCATTGCTAATGGGGTTACTCATGATATAGACATGGATTGAAATTTTGCGAAGGGTTGCTTAAATATTTTTCGAATGACCATGGCCCTAAAAAATATCATTACTTTCCGCAGGACCGTGTCTAGCGGGGAAGAAGAAGGGAATATGCCCACCAAGGTCGTAGGCTGAGCAAATTCCCATGGTAGGGGTGGGTCTGAGCCAAGGCTTTCACGGATATGTGACCAAAAAAATCACGTTATGATTATTAATGATTATTAGTTAAGATTATTTTTTAATTTTGCTCCAAAATCTAAGGGGCAGCTACCTCTTTACCCCCCCCCCACCCCACACACAGGCTACGGCCCTGCCCTTGTGTGAGGTCATCGGGTCAACATCCAGTGTGTGTGAGGTCATCGGGTCAACATCCACTCTATGTGAGGTCATCAGTCATCATGTCATAAGAGATGGGACACGTGGTGCATGGGGGTCAGATGTGTGAGTGCTGCGTGGTACGTAGGGTAAATGCAACTGAATGCACGCGGGGCATCATACTCATAGTCTCAGTGATTACGCGTCAGGTTACGCCATGTATTTCAATTAATGTAAACCAAGCCAATCATGGTTGTGTGGAACAGTTGGAGCTTCGTTCACGAAAGTTCTTAATTTAGCATCGTATTTCTTATTCGTTTTCGAATCGTAATTCCGTTCTTCGAATGAAGAAGGCCCATTTTAAAACACCACAAAGCTTCGTGTTAGAAGAGCCAAACATAACACAGGAAGTACTAAGAACAGGTCTTTATGCTCGGGGTACGTACTAGCATTTGTGTTTTCACAGTTAGTGAATATGTGCAGCTTCACGTTGTCGCCGAGTAAACTTTAACGTATATTGAAGCAGCGACATGTGACCGGAATGATTATAGCAGAAAGATTTCTAGTAGCTTAGCAGAGAATCCTCGGTTGTTATGTGCAACTGTAATGTTATGTGCACTGTAAATACTACGAAGATCTTCGTATCTTTTGTGTTTATAAGAAAAAAGACCTTTTAGTCACCATTGAAAGGTTTCGATAGTTTTCTACCCTATATTTTTTCCACAATTATCGTTTATCCGTGCAATTGATGGTGTGTCGACTAAAATGTCTTCACACTGTTACTGTAGGTAATTGATTTTGACCATTTTCTTAGAGAATGTCCTTATATATTGTCTAGGTTTGATGACCTCATATATAAAATAGGGTGATTTCTTGTACGTGTTTGTGGGTAGTTTTGTATTCCTTTGATGTAATATTTTGTATACAAAATGGGGAGTTGAATGCCATCAATACCTTACAAAACTGTAGTTGATTCTGAATATAGAACACGTAATTAATTATGAAAGCAATGGTTGGTTATGTTTTGTTTCATGTGCTATGTAATATATGGTTTAATACATTGGCAATAATATTATTTATCAGTAACAACAGTGTCTTAAGAATTTATTTTCGTTGTTGGTACTGGCCGTGTGCGTGGGATTAAACGGCGACCAGTGATTGTTGTCCACACGAACGAACACAATCAGACTCAGAAGACAGTCTAAAATATCACAAGTTGTCACATCATCACAATCATCATTTCGTCACATAAACATGGTTATCGTTACCTTTATACGCAAATCGTACGGTTTTATGCAAAGGCAGTTCGTGTTGTTTGCGTATGTATGCTTGCTAGCTTCGTCCCCCGGCCGTTCGCATACGGTAAATTGTCCCCGTAGTATTCTCTAGCTTGCCCTCCTCAGCCTGCAAGGTTCGCTCTGTAGCTTCTTTAGCTGCGATGCTGCAGCCTGCTCCCCTCCTGTCCCTGTCCTCCCATCTGTAGCTTCTTTAGCTGCGACGCTGCAGGCTGCTCCCCTCCTGTCCCTGTCCTCCCCTCTGTAGCTTCTTTAGCTGCGACGCTGCAGGCTGCTCCCCTCCTGTCCCTGTCCTCCCCTCTGTAGCTTCTTTAGCTGCAATGTTCTGTACGCGGTTGGTTTTCGCTTGCACCCTCACCTGAAATAGAGAGACAGCGCGCGCCGACGCGTGCGCTTCCCTACGTTACTATGTGCTTGGGATAACAGTAAAAACTTATCTAGGTAGGAAGTTGACGTTCGCCTGCCACGAAACCACGATATGCGCAAAAGGGCGTATATACAGCAAAGCAAACGGTTCTTCCGTTATGTCTGTCTATCAGTTGTGATTTATGCGCGCCCGCGCCATGTATCGTTCGATGTCATACGTGCGCAGTTGATAATTAGACTAACCACTCGTTAAATGTATACCTTCGTGTTGCTTCCTTAACACCGAATAGTGCAGCGTTCGCGACCAAGCGTTTGAGTCACACGATTGACTCCGTATTTGTGGCAGGAGTAGCAGCAGAACTGGCAGGAACGGTGCATGGAACAACTAACTCAACTGATCATATATAAACACCACGAGGAGTTTCGTGCATTTTTTTCGAGAGACCACGTGCTTCCCCCCAACGTTTGTAAATTCAAATGATCACGCTCCCTCCGTCGACAACGTGTATATTGCAAGGCATACCGCCCACCCGCTACCAGCAGCGCTTCGTGCATGCACGTTGATGAGCACCTTTAGACCTGCGAGCTATAATTACAATCCGAGCTATAGCCGAATCGACAGTGAAAGAATCGAGTATAAATCTGCGCTTTTTCGTCGAAAGGTACACGAACGCGTGTGGCCATATATTGTGAGTCGCAATTATATATAATTCGGCAGATATATTGGGCATGCGCGAACCCCGATTACAAAATATATAAAAAATAATCAAATAGATTAAAAAACTAGAAACGAGCAGTTGTCGCCAACTACATGTATTCCCCGTGATCTAGTATAAATGGAATATGTAAGGACGTAGAAGGCAGGTAAAGTTAAATAAGTCGCAAAGACAAAGGTTTGCTAGACAGCTGGTGTGCCTCAGATGTGCAAGTATATGGAATCTGGTTACCCTAGGAGGCCGAAGAGGAAATGTAAGTCGACGGTGAATGTCTAACTAAGGTCAAGGGCAGTGGTGGTTTTGGTATGCGACAGACCTTCTCCCCAAGATGTGTAAGCATACCAAGTTTGGTCGCGCTAGGTCAATTAGGGGCTGAGTTAGAGAGCGAAAGGGAAATATGATCAAGGTCAAGGTAAAGGTCAAATAAAGGTCGCAGTGACCTGGTTTTGGTACGCTGCCACCTTCTCCCCAAGATGTGTAAGTAGACCAAGTTTGGTCACACTAGGTCAATTAGGGGCCGAGTTATATATGAAATATGATCAAGGTCAAGGTAAAGGTGAAATAAAAGTCGCAGTGACCTGGTGGGCAGTTTTTACCCGATCTCGGATCATCTTCAAATTTGGTTAGACGGCTTTGTATATGGCCGCAATATCTGTTCTCGGTGAGAAAAACAAGCGGTCATTCGCCACTATACGGCATGACTCTTTCCCCACGGATACTCTTCTCCCACACACACACACACACATATGTGCGTGTATCACGCACACACGTACAGCGACATGCTTACAATCATTGCATGTGTAATATTCACCGATCTTGGAAGCGACCTAGTTTCACGATGACTGCCGCACCCAATTGAACAACGTCTATTTAATAAGCACGTGACCGCGCTGCCACCGCACGTGTTACCGTCGTTACTGGACAGCTACGCATCCGCAGTGAGCGCAACAAGCAAGTCAGACAAGGTGAGACCAGAGTGTCAGACGTCGTATGTGGGAATTTACAGCCTTGAACATTGCCCGTGACGTCAGCAGAGAAAACACTTCATCGCGCGCTGCAACTGGCGCGCTATGGGATGTGTGCGTAGTGCTCCGCAGGTGTGTTGTACCTGTGTGTTGCAGAGGAGCATTTGAACGGCACTTACAGGAAATTATCGGCAATAACAGGCGAAAGAGAGTATAGAGAAACATTAACACTTTGGTAGTAAATACATTTCGTGTTTATTTAGGTTTTTTTTATTGAGACGCTCCAAGTGCCTGTGTGGTGGACCGTGGCGCGGGTCCCGACGGTCAATGTCGTCTTACATTCGTCACCGTAGGTTTGTCTTTTACTCGCACATGTTATATATGGCACATGTTATATGAATGATCGTCGTTACGAAGTCCGTGGCAATAACCAGGCTAAACGTGCGATTGATCCTCAGGCGAATACGTAGCTCTAGAACTTTAGCCCTTTGCTCTGCCACAAGCAGATGGCAGAGCGAAGGGCTATAGTTCTAGAGCTAGCGAATATTAGATACAATAATGTAACCCAAACCCAAGAGGATAGGACCCCTATCCTCTTGGGTTTGGGTTACATTATTGTATCTAGCGAATATACGTAGATGCGATAGCGTTGCCATTGAACAGACATTACAACTTGGTTGTTACAACCTGTTTGCCGGACTATGAATTATCGTACCCAGCGAACGCGACGAAAGAACTGTAATCATCTGGCCGACATTCGTATCGAATTGTTGGAGTGCAAGTTGGAGAGAAAACGGTTACGTCTGTAGTGGGTGCCTGTACATATGAATATCACAGGGGACGTACATGCCCAGGCTGATTTCATAAATTACCGATGACACATCATGGAAGTTGTTGGAGGAATCGTTGGTTACTTGCTTAGAATATCTACATGGGACGTTGGGATCATTCTATTGGCCCAGCCACATCGAATGCTATAATAACCATTGTCATGTAGGACTATGTCTACACTTCCCAAGTTTATTTTTCTACACACTGGGCTTTTTTACTGGACCAGACTGGGGTAGTCTGAATATTACTAAGCTGAGCGTCCTTTTAAAGTATCCGATCTCATCAATTGCATAATTAGCTATCTTAATTACTAATTGAAGCCCGCCGTGATATAGCACCAGCACATTCGTCAGATAAACAACATTTTACTACGAGACGATAATGGATAAACTATAAACTAACACATTTATATATCATATATAACACCATCAATAGAAACGCATCTGTTAAAAGCCCGACGCGAAATTGCGATACTGATACAGCCATCTTCACCATTTTTGCGTCTACGCGAATACACTATGATAAATCCCACTATTACGCCACATACTTTGCTATATAGTTTACTGTCTATTTTATTGTAATATTCTATACTATGCTAACATCCCGATGCTACACGCTGCACAGCGACAGTGTGCATATCTGCCGCCTGTTGCTCGAGCCATTTCTTTGAAGATTGGCAGCACATGGTGAGAGCGTTGTTGGTTGTCTACATCTTGGTCGAAACGCCAGGTTTACCGATCCCCACCATCTCTGTGTTTTCTGCCTGTAAGTAGGCAAAGAAAGTTGTTGCTAAAGGTTTTTGCATGCGCAGGTTATCAAGGGTGCTTAAGTGGAAATAATTTTGTGTGTCTGTAGTGTGGTTACGTGACTATAGACGCATGCCACGGCCGAATTGAAGAAATAAGCGAATTGACTTTTGAAATGAACCGAATATGCACCCGTGCGAAGTTCGAGGGTAGTTGGATCACGAGGGTCATAATAAAGTAAAATATTCTATCTTGCCTTTTCTTCCTCGTCGTTCCCAGATATTGACTCGGCTTCTTCGGGCTCTGTGGCCCAACTTTGCAGCTCTCCTGTGCCAAATACGTCATAGAAAATGGCGCCACTTATCATGATGGCTGCAGTGATGAAGAATACCGTCTGCCACTGTTTCTGTGTACCCTGTAGATGATGAATGACACAGGCTAGAGGATGTTTGTGGAAAATAGAGAGGGAAAACTGACGAAGAGATGCTCCCCAGTAACAAGCTAAAGCATGTTCATTATGCCCCATCGTTTTAAAGACTCTCCTTTCGTTTTGGTTATTTACGATTCAGCCAAAACAAGCTATATAATTAATGCATTACGCCATATATATGATTGTTTAGAAACATGTTATAAAAACTTATATAATAGTAAATAATTTGCGAAAAATGGAAAAACTACATGGTTTAACGACAAAGCCCTAAAACAACGCCATGAATAAAGATTTTGATGATTTTTTTGATGATTACTTTAACACTTGTTTTACTCCTTATATCATACATAGTGAGCTAGGTCAATATCATGCCACTACACGGAGCGTTATGCGCAGTACACAGCGCTATCAATTTCATTTTAGATTATCAATCTTTAAGCTATCAATAAAATGAATGAAACTCACCTCGGTGGTGATTTTCCCGACCACGAGCGGGGCGAAAATACCGGAGAGTGTAGCGAACGTGTTCGAGATGCCAAATAAAATTCCAGCGTACTTAGGGGCAATGTCAACATGATTGACAATGAAGCCTATGACGATAAAACAACATCGTGACAGATGGAAATGTTTAAAAATAGACCACCATTCATTATCGTTTCATGCCTCCTTCACGCAACAATTCTTTAAAGTGCCATTCCTTCAGGTTCCCCCTCGCCCCCTAAAATTATGTGAAGGGTGCGAGGAAATAATCTAAGAGGCGGATGGAGGTTGCACTCAGTAAAAATTCAAATTAACTACTAACTTATGCTATCATAGCTTTCCATCCCATTCATTTCCATCACGCTTTCATTACGCTGTTGGTAAACTGTGCGACTGTGCTTCGTTTAGGTTCATCTCCATACTTGTGCTTACCTCCAAATTGTAGGGCCTTAAAGGTGACAGCCACGGTGAGAATCGCTACAGCCAAATATGGCCGCGTACAATCCAGGAAGACTGTCACTATCAGGAATATACTTCCCAAGACCATAGCTGACGAAAAGTAAAATAATATATTGTGGTACAGATTTTGATTAGATGACTGTAGCCGTAACTTAGCAAACGTGTAGGGTTAACGTGTAGGGGGTACATATACCTAATATCGACATTTTTACTCTAAGTTACTGTATATTTCTGTATATTTGGTTTAATTTTCGCGAAAATCGCGAACGCGTCCCCGAAAATAACAACACGCGAATAGTTTATATATACTGAATAATACCGAATAATTCATAATTGACCGACCGCGAAATTAACCACTCGCGAAATTGTCCGTCAAGTCTGAATTCGCGAAAATATCTGTACGCGAAAAAGATGGTGTATACAGTATGCTGGCTCTTTATTATTCACGAATGGTTAAACGAATGTCTTGTAATAATCTTCTGTTGTTGTTATTGTTATTATAGTATTACTTTGTATACTTTGTTTACTAATAATACTTATGTAGATTGCTAATTTGTTGGTATTAGGTGTGTAAAGGTCTATAACAGTTGCGCCTATAGTGATTTAACGTCAAGGCAACTAATCGGTCCACAATTCTGAACGATTTGTGACGATAATCAAGTCCCGATTATAGATGACCAAAAAGCTGTGCGTTTTGCATACTCACACGATGAATGGAATAGCTTTCGCACAATTGTTGTGCTCCAGCCTCGCGCTCTCAACGCGTCCGCACCAAAGCCAGCAGCGTTGATTCCCACCCAGTAACCAATATAAGGGATGGCCGAGAAAGCGCCATTCTGCGAACAAGAAAACCCAACTAAACAATCCCACATTCAAAGAAACGATTTTCATGCCCATTCTCGACACATTGTATGAGTTCTATTTTGGACACAGTTACGAGTACACTCACGGCTTTGATGTTAAACTTGAGCACTTCCTTCATGAAGGTGGGGATGTTGGTGAGCAATGTGTAGGTGCCCCAGTTCGCACAGGTGTGAGCAACAACGATGGCCCACACTCTCTTTGACGTCCATATCGTTAGCCAAGGAGTGCTTTGATTCTTTAATTAACACAGATATTTTATTGACAACAATTCTGCCTACTACTGCACGGTACGTTTTAAACACGCAGTCGCAATCGCGTACTTATTATATGATCGAAATCGGAGTTATATCGTCATTCTCGAACTCGGTTTTATTTCATCGCATTCCTCAATCGGTCTTTATCACCTTCATTTTGTGCGACATCTGGCCGGCCAAACTGTGTTCTATGTAGTGGCGTTCGTCGTGGGAGATCCAGCGACTAGAGTGAGGCGTGTCCGCTGCGACGAGCAGCCAAACTACACACCAGACTACACACAAAAGCCCTGCACAGCAATCACCACACTACGATCAGTTATCAGTAATAATTAAGCAGTCAAGTTGCCGCAGTGTTGATAACTGTAACCCCATATGGTTATTATAAAATGATTAATTGATTAATTAATTCATAGATATATTAAGGGAGAGCGAGACAGAAAAAAGGGAGGGTAAAAATGGGAGAGAAAGCGAGAGAGTGAGAGAGAGAGAAAGAGAGAGAGAGAGAGGAAGAGAGATAAAGAGAGGAAGAGAGAGAGAGAGAGAGAGAGAGAGAGAGAGAGAGAGAGAGAGAGAGAGAGAAGAGAGAGAGCACATATAATCGGCCGGGGCGAGCGCCATTGCGAATTTTATGAGGGATTGCCAGCTATTTTTACAGTTCCATGCATCAAAATAACTACTAGGAACCCTGTAAAAAACACGGAATTAGTAATAAATTGTCTACTAATAATGCTATGGACATCTACCAAGTACGTAGAAGATCGAAGGCCAGCCTCCGTCAAAGCCGTAGTCACACAGTAATGCAGCAAGCGGCAGGGTGATGACATTACCAATCTGGCAACCTGTAAGCAAGCGCCCAGCAACCTTTATTAACATGAGCGTCGCCACCGCCGCCATCAACACCACCACCACTACCGACATCATCAACACCACTGCCACCACCGCCACTACATCGACATCATCACCACCACTGCCACCACCGCCACTACATCGACATCATCACCACCACTGCCACCACCGCCACTACGCTGACATCATCACCGCCACCGCCGCCATCGCCGCCATCAACACCACCGCCACTACCACCACCACCGACATCATTACCGCAAACGCCAACACCGCTACTACACCGACATCATCACCGCCACCGCCACCACCGCCACCGCCACCACCCCCATTAACACCACCGCCACTACCACCACCACCAACATCATCACCGCCACCGCCACCACCGCCACCACCGCCACTACCACCACCACCAACATCATCACCGCCACCGCCACCACCGCCACCACCGCCACTACCACCACCACCA